GTATACAGCGTCAAAGGTACTCAGAGGCAGAAACTTCAAGTGTTGCTTGTACTTATGAGTCAAATTGGCAATGAACAAGCGAACCATTTCTTTCTCCTTGGGGGGATCCACCAGGAGCGCAGTTGTTTCCCTCCACCTGCTTAAGTAAGTGGTGAAGCCTTCATTCTCTTTCTGTTTGAGAATGGAGAGTTCACGTTCAGAAGTCTTGGCCTGGATGTTACACGTGTAACGATTCATGAAGCTTTCAGCAACATCCTCCCAAGTCGTGACATGTTTGGATTCCAAAGAATAGAACCACTGTTGACAGGCATGATCTAAGGAAAGAGGGAACACCGTAGGGAAGAGTGTCACATCTACTCCCTTAAGAGCCATAGTTGCAGAAAAAGTCTTCAAATGGAAAAGCGGATTATCAGTAGGCTTGAATTTGGGAATGTCAGCAGTGGAAAACTTCTCAGGAAGCTTCTCTCTTATGGACGAAGAGGTGACAGGCTGTTCCACATAAGTGAACTCTTCAGAGATCTTGCTCATTTGTTCCTTAATCTTGTCCATTGCAGCAGCAGTGACATTGTTTTGATTGTCCTGTTCTACAGTACTGACTCTAGTGGTGAGTGTCTGCATCGTGTCAGACAATCTTTCAATTGTCCTATTGAGGTTCTCGATGTCTTCCTTAGTGGCCATTGGTTGAAAGTAGACTGGAGATGGATTTTGTGGAGATGATTGAGGTGGTTTCCTTGTACGCCTCTTTGGTATAAGAGGTTGTTGAGGTATGGACTCGAACCGTAACAATCTACCCCTGCTTCTTTACCAAGTGATGCGACACCGAAACAAACACACCTTTAATGACCAAACTTAACCTTAACCCATCCGGATAAAAAAAAGAAAAAAAAGAATTTTTTTTTTATAAAAAAAATCTATGGTTTTGAAATTTAATTTTTTTATGAAAAAAAAACATATGGGAGGATACCATCCGACTTACTCCGAAAAAAAAAACGACCCAAAAACGAGACTTCCCTAAAATACGGTCAAAAAGAGGTGCACGACTTAAAGAAAAAAGGGTGTGAACAAAGTGAGGTTATAGACGCGTGTTTTGACCGTATAGCTAGACACGACACAAAACTGGACACAGCATTCGCACAAAAATCGAAAAAAAAGACTGACAGAACACTTTCCTGGGCACCGTGTCACGGTGCAGACTGTCGTGACACGATGCAGTCTACCGTCAGACGGTAGATAGTCCCGTGTCACGGCACTGTTCACCGTGGCGCGGCAGAACATGCCGTGACACGGTGCGCAGTTCCAGGTCAGTTTTGTGATTTTTCCAGATTTTAACCGATTTTAGGTCCGTACTAATTACTATGTGAGAATTAAAACACTCGGTCATGGGTTAAACAAAAGAGCAAACACATGAAGGTTAGCACCAAGCAGCCACATAGCATTTAGGCACGATGATGTAAAAAAAGTTCGCAACCTATAGTCAAGATCTATGTTCAACTATTGGTCAAGCTTTGGGTGTCAAAAGGGTACCATGGTTAAGAGTTTGGACGCGTTAGCAAGGCAGCCGCCCTTGAGGGTGTATGCCAACGGGCGGCTCCGCGAGTTCGTGATGAAATCGAACTCGACTCCTTGGTTTGGGTGGATTTAATAACTCGGATGAACCCTTATTGCCATGAGCGTTTTTAGGTCGATAGAGCTTAAATCCCCCGGGGCTAAGACGCATGTAGAACACATACGTTTATTCAGAAAAATAAAAGGAAGTCGACTATGAGGAAAGAAAATAAGCCACCGGACAGATTTTAGGACTGCCGTGACACAGCAAAAATTCCCGTGTCACGGTATTGTGCACCGTCAGACGGTGCACTGTACCGTGACACGGCAGATTCTGCCGTGGCACGGCAGTCAGAAAATCTGACTGGTGCCCTGTTCTCCTTCGCGCGCAACCAAGTTATCCAATTTTTCCTACGGGACAGACCTGAACGCGACGTTAAAACGTCTATGCAGATGCAAAAATGCCAAATTAATCACAGGAATATTTTTTCAAGAATCTTTCAAGTCTCATCCACTCATCTTAATTAAATACCGATCACTCAAATCGATAAATAATTAAGAATCCTCCCCAGTGAAGTCGCCAAATTGTAAGCGTCGTTCGAAGTGCGCCTACGTAAAAAGCATGTGTGAATATGTTTGGCACTCATAGGAAGTGGGAATTGACATAATACGATTAGGGACAAATAAAGTAGGGAGCCGCCAACAAGTTTTTAAGGAACTTGTAAACCGTTCACGGATCATAAAAGGCAACCACGATTAAGGGACAACGATAGGCAACAACGATTGACCCGTGAGGTTACGCCCCATTCATAATCCATGAGATTACTAACTCCATATGGTTCAGAACCACGAAAGAAGGATCGGGGATGATGGTACGAAGTGAGTCATGGAGTCACATTCGCCCGTATTGGCCTCTACTCGATTCTTATATTGAAAAGCACTCCTTTGATCTCAAAGGCATACAAACAATAATTCGCTCCAAACTATTATTTAACTAAATTGGTTGAATATTAATGCAACATATAATCCTAAAATATTGGTGATCACTTGAATTAAACAACAAGATTAAAAGGAACCTAAACCGGTTGTCCAAATTATCTTATTAGGCGTGATTTTCAATTACATATTCCCTTTAAACATGCAATATTGTGATCAATAATAATATAATAGAACAATATTAATATTAGAACCAATTTAATCACAATTCCAACAACATAAAATCGTTAGAAAAATAATAAAAACAAAAGGAGCATGATCCTTACTTTGATTCTGTTTGTTTGCAACTACAAAATAATAAACGAGTTAGTAACTTCAAGGAAATAAATAAACAATAACTAAATTAAATTAAATAAAATAAAATTGATTTTGGGGCTAAACCCTCAAACAGTTCTACCTTTCACGCCTTGGTTTAAGGACAGAACCTCGAGTAAAATATGGACTCCTTTGAGTGCTTGAAGAAGGAATTTTGAAGTGAAAAGGGTAGGCTAGTGTTTAGGCTAAAGCATAGAAGAGAGAAAATAAAATAAGAGAATTACCCCGTGCCCCCGTTCATCAGAAATGAGGGGGTATTTATAGGGAAAATGTGCTGAGGGAGCACACGGAACCCTAAAATGATAAAAACCCTAAACAAGTATCCCGTGACACGGTCAAACTGTACCATGACACGGGAAGCCCCACCGTCAGACGGTACACATTGCCGTGACACGGTACACTTTTGGCGTGACGCGGGAAATTTTCAGAAAACGGGATAGAAAACGCGTCAAGGGTTTACGCGGAAAAGACACGGAATGTCCCGTGTCACGGAAAACCTCTCGTGACACGGGAAATCCCACCGTCAGACGGGAAGGATTCCCGTGACACGGTGGCAGTCTGCCGTGGCGCGGGAATTTCCAGTCCATTTTCCGTCTAAATACATTTTTAACCCTAATTTCCTTCGGCTTTTTTAAGTGTCGATTGATAATTTCGGGTCTTTTCTGACTTTTATTATTCGGGCTAAAATAAGAAAATAATTAAATAAAAATAAATAAAAGGTTTGGGCCAAAAATAAATAATAAAACAATAAAATAAAAAAGATTTGGGCTGAAATTAAAACTATGCTTTTACCAAACATCAAGACTAATCCATGGATTGTTCAAAAATATGAATTTAATAAAATACGATTTTTTAAGCACTCTCGGGATTAAATACTGAACCCGACCAATAGTGGCGGTGAAAGGTTGTTCATCATCGGGTTTGGTTTTGGGGAGACATTTTTAGGTGTCTACACCAACCCTAACACTTAATCTGTCATTTTCATCATCCATTACATTCTCATCATCATCATCTAAATTCACTACTTCAAGTTCATCATCATCTGTTTCTGGTTCTCTCTTTCTTTTTCTTTTTCTTTTTTCTTTTTTTTTTCAATTTGTTTATTTTCCTCTAACTTTTTCCTCCTTTAAGATCTTCAACTCCTGTTTCAATTCCTTTAACTCTTTCTTTTTTAATTCCTTCTCCTTCAACTCCTGTTTCTTTGGATTTGCTTTGATTTTTTTGAACTTTGTCCTTCATCTTTTCCTCCCTTCAACTCTTCTTTTTTAACTCCTTCTCTTTCAACCCCTTTTCTTTCTTTTTATTATTACGAGATTTCTAAACACCTTCATCTGCAATTCTTCCTTCCTTTTCCTTGTTTTCACTTTCTCTTGATTTCTTTTTGAAAGTAACATGTTTCCTTCTCTTTTGAGTTCTACAAAAAATAATGAATAATATCATTAAACATATTGAACATAAATAACCAATTAATTAACACTAGTACATAACTAACCTTAAGTAACACCCAAAAAATGTTACATAAAGTGGTAAAAGTTTTATTATAGACAATAGGTAACACTTTAGTAGGTGATACATCCGCCCATGTTACCTAAGGTCTTATATAACACTTTGGGTAACGTACAGTAACACTTGTAAAAGTGTTACTATAAACTCTAAACTCTTTTATGTAACACTTTTTGATATAATTAGTATCATTTTAAAAGTGTTACTTTTTATTTCTTATGTAGTACCTACTTTACTGTAGTAACACTTTTCAATCATACAGTAACACTTTATCCAATATTATGTATCACTTTTGCAAACTAATGTAACACCTTATTGATTATTAGGTAACATTTTACAAGCATCTTCTGACATTTGGTATCACTATATTCGATATTATGTATCATTTTTTGCAAACTCATGTAACACCTTGTTAATTAATACTAGTAAAATTTTGTTATTCACACTTCGATTTTGAATCGATGCCTTTTTTGGGGTTTTCCCATGATAGAAGCTATGGGTACTGGTTTAACCGTTTAAGGGCCAAACTGGTGCCCTTAACGTCAATAGAGGGCACCGGGTTTTCCCTTGAAGTGGTGCCCTTTATGCCAAAAATAAAGCAATATTGATGAACAAAGCACTATATATATAAAAATGGATAATTTTATTAATATATAAATGCTTGTAACATTACAATTTCAACATATAAAATTCACAATGTGCAAAACAATAGCAGCTCGGAAATAGAGCAGCAGCAGATTAGAAGCAGAGCAGCAGCAGCTCGAAAGCAGAACAGCAGTAGCTCGGAATCAGAACAACAGCAACAGGTAACAGCAACAGCAGCAGCAAGCATCAAAACCTAAGGATATATACTTGTTATGAAGAAGTGGGCAACAATTTACTTACCTTGTATTAAGGAAACATCTTAATATTGAAGTATAAGTTGGAAGAATAGACAATATTACAATTTATAACAACCCTTATCATTCTAAAATTTGGATCTGAATAATGCAAAAAATTAAAAAAATAAAATAAAATAACATAAAAAATAAAAAATAAATCACTTCTTATGTATATACTTGTGATACTTTTTATGCCTTCGATAGAAACACACTGAGATGATACTTGCTACACATGTTCACTAGAGGTGTGGACTTCATGAGTGATTCTTGATGTATATGTTTTCATATGCAAGATACACTTGTGACTTATAAAACAAGTAAAAAGAGAATTTATAGCATTATTGAATTTGACAATAAAAAATTGACATGGGTGATGTGCTAATGATTGTCATCAAATTAAATCTTGAATAACATGCTTAGACATATACAACTAAGTCTTTGTCATAGGGGAGCATAACTTCATTAATAATTATACACCAGAAATAAGGGAAAAGTATGATAACCAAGTCCTAGTCTGATGTTCATTCAGAGAGGATAAATTTACAATTTAACTGGCCTATAGTCAATAACCACATAGAGAAGAATGCAGTGTACCTTGAAACTGCTACGGACTAAATATTAAGTTGTCAATCCCTTGATCATGATTGATGTTGCAGTGATAAGATCAACAGAAGGGCGGAACAGGGAAAACTCTGTCTGCAGGGCCTTCCTGATCCTCTGCATATAAACCCATTAGACTATCAACATAAGCAAAAAAGATGACCCACCTTTTTGCCAGTTAGTCCATGACCTACAACTACCACCTCTCCAACTGCTTCAATTCCTAGTGAACGCCCAAACAGAAAGAAAACAAAAAAGGGCTGAACGTATTTTATCTATAGTATTCTGCAGCAACAAGCAAATAACTACACTAGATAACACATCATAGCACTAAGCACTCTATCAAGTACTATCATATATTAACCCATCTGTGTAGCACCAAAGAAACTACGTAGAACCTACACTATAAAGGCCCAATTTTCTTTATTATTAAATAAAATCAATCTTGAAATTTTGTAACTCAATTCGTAAAATGCAGTGACTGCATGTCTTCACAATGCACATGATACTAGTATATGATAGGATTGGTAACTCTTAGTTATATAAGGTGACTCAAACTAATGTTAAAAAGAGAAAATCAATTACTAAGAGCACATTGATGCATTATGCGTCACCCTCCTAAGACGTACACCTGCTATCAAATGAAGGTGGAACAAAAGCTAAAAAAGAAAATATGAGACCAATTTGAAAATATATAGCGTCTCTCGGTAGTCAGGCCTTGAGTTAATGAGATAGGGGTTACTATTATATGATATCAAATGACTATAACGAGTGATTTATACACATAGATGTAACATTAGAAAAGTCATGGGGTGAGTTATTTTTATTTTTATTTTATTTTTTTTTAAAAAAGGAGTAAATCAACTATTCTGTTAGCTCCACTAATGCCCCTGTTTAAATACACCCATATCAACAACCCAACAATCCCACCACCTAACAGAGAATTGTTCTGTGTTACCTTCACTTTCTCTTGCTTCAAACGCTTAGAATTGGGCACATTTGTTGTAGGGATTGACAAAGAAGTGGCAGTTTTTGTGCTAACTGCAGCCATAGTTGCAGGTGTGGCACTTGTCACAATGGAAAATCTATTTTGTGAGTTGCAACAGCTATACTGAAATCAGAGATCATTTTCGTGTCCACGAACTGGGATTGAACAGCTGAACTAGACTCAACACCAATAGTTTCTTCTGTGTTTGCAGCTAGCATTTTCTTCACCCTGATTTTCTACTGAATCTGCAGAGTATAGGAGCAAAATATTTGATTAATTTATAGTTCATGGTCATCATCATGGAATATGGTTTTAGATTTTAACTGCTCATAACAATGCAAGTTACACTGCAAAAAATTTACTTTATACATTCCCAGACAGTGGCATATCAGATGAATTAAAACAAGTTTAAAGCCAATTGCAATGAACCCACTTGATGTGCACAATCTCACAATCCAAAAGATGATGATAATCTCATTATCTAAGGTATGAATTCCATGTTCAAGTAGAAACATATACTGGCGAAATATTAGCTATTCACCAAAAACAACAAAAGAACTGAAGTAAAAGTAAAAGAAAAAGCAAAACTTCTAGTGATCAGTAATCCCTTAGAGGAAATATCAAGCTTTTGTCAAAGTACACTTACTAATTTTGTACTCACAAGGTTGACATCTTACTCTAGTCCTACAGACAATAAAGAGAACCATGGTAGCAAATCAACTACAAGAACAAATACCAGTTAGAAGACATCAATATATAATAGTCTGAAAGCATAATATAAGATCCACAATTATATAATATAATCTATAAATCAATGAACTTAATTACCTATAAATTAATGAACTTAATTAGAACAATACCCAATTCAATGAAATAAATTATTCCATTAAATTGAGAGATCAATCACAGAAGCAAAATAAGCTAATCCAAAACTATAATACTCTCTGCAAAATACAAAGGCTAATTGAATCGACAGCTAGTTATAAATTATACTTATTAAAATTAAAAATTTACAATCCCAATACTTCAAATTATATCATTCACTTTAGAAATAAAACATAGATTTTTACCTAACAAACCCAGATTAATACGGAGTACTAAACAAAACCTTTAAAAATGAACTACACTCAATAGATATGATAATAAAATCAATAAATAAAAAAGAAAAATTACAGAACAGTCAATGCCTAATTTAACAAGACAACAAACTTAATTTGGGTATAACTCACCAAAAATCAATGAAATTTAGAAGTACAGGAATACCTTAAACCATAAAAAAAAAAAAAAAAAAAAAAAAATATCGAATCAGAATAATCAATCAAAATTGTAAATTCAAAGCAAGAACTATAATTTGTACTGGTTCAATTAAATCAAACAAATTAATTCTAATCAAACCTGGTTGAAGACTCACAAACAACATGGATTTGGTAACGAAGAGGATGGCTGATAGAAATTAACTAATAGAGCGCCTAAAGTAACTTAGCAGCGTTAAAAGATGATTGGCATTTGGCAAGGCGGTTTGGAGAAACCTTTCTCTAGGTATCTCACAAACTCCCACACAACAATGGCCGACGAGCCCACCATAACGCCCTCCGCTACCGTAACTGCCGAACCCACAGACTTAGGCCCACCGCTTTCGTCGTGTTGGTTTCGTCGGTGTTGGAGGGTTTAAGTTTTTTAAAAGTTTGCTTCTTCCCATTTTGGTTTTTTCAAGTTTTAGGCTCTGTCACGGCGAGAGGGTAGTAATGTAGTGAGAGTAATTTCAATTTCACAAAATTGGGTTATGACGAGAATGTGTTTTCCAATTTATTTATTTTTTTGCCCTTCTAAATGTTTCCTTTTTTTTCTTGTTTTTCTAGAAAGCCCTTCTAAATGTTTTGGAATGGTTACGAGTCTTTTGACTATTTTTTTTATGCAAAATGGTTATTACTCTATGAGTAAATTAATAAATAAAAAAAATAAATATTTAATTTCTACAAGAAAAAAAAAAGTAATAGATATAACCGGGGAAATAACACTTCACAAATGTTACCTTATAAAGATACAAATGATACATATTTTAAAAGTGATACTTTAAAATGCTACCTTTTTTCAACATTAAGTGTTACATAAAATAAAAGTGTTACATGAGTGTTACCTATATATTAAGCAAATTAACAAAGTAAAAAGTGTTACCAACAAGTGTTCCTTTAGGTTAATTTTGTACTAGTGTAATATAGACCAGAATTGAAGATTTTCTTACTTAGCAGCAACAATCGAAAGAGATTCATGTCCAGAAGCAATAGCAAGTTCTACAAGTCGATTTTGAGGCATAATTTTGCGGATGTAAGAATAAATATCAAAACAAATAAAATGAATAAAGTTTATATTAATATAAACATTGTCTAATAATATTGTATTTACTTTGTTTGTTTTTCTATAGGTTTTGCAGAAGAATATTCTAGTTCTTCAAAACCTTGATTATCATCTTGTTCAGAAATAGTACGCTTCAGTTCTGATGCTTTTGCTCTATGTTCAGATGGTTTAGAGACATGTTCAAATATTTTTGTATCACATTCAGATTGTATATTTTCATTCCCGTGTCCAATTAAAAACTAGTCAGTATATATACTATTGCTTTGCAAGTCCAAAATAGCGCACATTAAATATTAAAATATGCACAACAAAAGAAACACAAATAAATTTATAATTTTTAAAATTGCACAAAGTTTAAGTAAGGAAATACATAACTGAATAGGAAGTGCAAATTGAACATTCTTTGTTGAAGACTGAACAACATCTATTAAAAAATGAATATCAATAAAATGCTTACACTTGTTTGCTATCTTCTACAAAAGGTTGTTCAACATTATCTTCTTCAGTAGGCTGACCAACACCTTGTTCTTTTTTTTAGAAAATTCTCTATATATAAATTGGAATACAAAATTACTAAAAATTATATATATTAAAAAAAAAAAAAAAAACTATGTAAAAACGAACATGAAGTGAACCAAAATGAATTTTAACAAAATTGTGGAAATTGGCATACCCTTCGTCACTGAAGGGGTCCGAAAGTTCTATAGTGTTCGTGTTACAAGTTCCGAAACTTTGTTGTTCAGAAATTTCTTTTGTTTATTCAAAAGGATTTGAACGTTGATCATTGTCTCTATCATAAATTATAATGTACAATAATCATATTTCTATTGTATAAAGTGAATATAAGAATAATAAAAATGAACATAAGTACAATAAATATGAATATTTTTTCTGTAACAAAACGAACATACTTGTCATTTGTACTTCTTTGATCCTCAGTTTCAACTTCTTTTTCCAAATCCTTCAAGATCTTTTCATCTACCATCGGACTTTTAACACCTTTCTTGTTTTTCTTTCCGAACAATTGAGAAAGAGTGTTGTTCAATTAATTTAGGGTTTTTAGTGAAAATTTGAAGTTCATATAATCAACAATATTACAATGAATTATTCATTTATAACAATGATTTTCAATTCTTACGCATGATCTTCATCATCTGAACTACTAGTATCTTCTTTTGGTTTTCTACAGAATAAAAAAAAACCAACTAATTCTTTTCAATTTTCGCCAAAAATAACCAAAATTAACTTAAAAATGTAAATTCTAAAAATTGTAAACGTACAATATTCACAGAATTTCACTGATATTTAACTTAGATGAATTAAATTTTTCATAAATTAAAATCAAAATTAAGTAAATATTTAAAAAATTTTGGACAATTGATATAAATCGCTAAACAATTCAACATAAAAAATTTCAGACTATTATGAAATTCAACATAAATTATGCTAATCTTCATAACAACTTACCCTTTTTTCGGAGATTTGGGTTGAACCTTGCTTTCCATGGAGTTTGCAAATTTTTAGAGAGAGAAAACTGGAGAAAGGAGAGAGAAAACTAGAGAATGGAGAGAGAAAATAAATTGATGTTGGGAAGTAAATGAATTTTGGGAGGAGAAGTTTGAATTAATGCGGTTTACAACAAACAAATGACAGTTTATTTAATTTATTTTTTTTACCGAAAGATTGATGTAAGGGTGTGTCGGGTGGGCCGTTTTGTTCTGGTCCGCGTTCGTGTTGGGCTTTTGGGCCTTGTTGCAGCCATCTAGTACAGTGCAGCCAAGATCAATTTTAATTATTTTCTCTCAACTAGTGGATTCAGCTAGTGGACCAACATACTCCCTCCGTGTTTTAATAAGTGTTACACTTACCAAATCCGGTCGTGTTTTAATAAGTGTTACACTTTCACTTTTGGCAAAAAGCTACAATAAAATATTGGAAAATTTGTCCAGAACTACCCGGAAGATAGGGTTTTTGTGAACAACTACCCATTTTTTTTATTGTTTACAACTACCCGCAAGATGGAAAACGTTTTGGTTGCACTACCCAATAACGTTTTCTGTCCAATTTACACGTTATTGGGGCCCACCAATTACCGTTTCCCACCCAAATTACTTCCCCCCAACTACCTTTTCTCTCTCCTCTTAAATCTCCCTCATCTTTTCCCTCCATTAACAGTGAAAAAATCCGATTGAAGAAATCAAGCAATTGAAGACAATTTCAGGTAATCTCTCATACTATCCTTCTAATTCATTGATTGTCGCATATGTTTACAAGTTTTAATTGATTGGAATTGCAAGAATTATGGTTTAAAATCCTGTTTCAGTTTAGGGTTTATGTGTACCAAATTATTTGGGCGTTTTTTTATTTTCTAGGGTTTGGGGGTATATTAAGTTATGGGAATCAGTAATGTTGGCTTGGAGAAAGAATTTTGAAGCATTGTAATAATTAAATTGACAATTATATTTGTAGGATGTCCAATTCCAATTCTTCATACCATTCAACTATGCAATTTCATCCAAACAAGTGCAATTATGGCATCCCACCGAAGCTGGAGACTTCGTGGACTACAAAAAACCCTGGGAGAAGATTTGTGGCTTGCAAATTCTATGATGCTGCTTCTGTTAGAAGAGGATGCAAGTTTTTCAAATGGTTTGATGAAGAAATACTAGAATGGCAGAGGGTTGTTACTAATCAGCTTCTGTTGGACAAAAAACTGATGCAGAATGAGATAGGCGTTCTGAAACAATAGGTTTGCTTGCTTGAAGACCAAAAGGCTAGGGTGGAGATTGAAAAGGAAATACTTAACAAGAAATGCAAGACACTTTCTGCTGCAATGAAGAAAGCAAAGGGAGGTGACTGTGATGGCATTTCTAGGCTGATGCAAGTGCTGATAGTTGTTCTTATTGGACTGATGTTAGTGTATTTAGGGACCAAATTGGTGTATTAGGCTAGTAAACTTGATTGGGGTTACATTTGCACTTTATTAGTGGCATTAGCCACAAATTTTGATTTGTAAACAAAGTGCAAATGATCACCTTTCTTATTCTAGGTTGTTTTATTTTGATGACAAAGATATTGAATGGTATAAAATTTAAGTAATTTAAGTACTTCTTTTTATACTATAGATGTAAGGCTTAAAATTTTAGCACAACAAACTATTTTTTAAAGAACCTTGCATTTCATGTACCAAAATAATTACAAGGCTAAAGTGGATATGTTCATGAACACTGATTACAATTGCATTAGAAAATCAATGTCATTAGAAAAACTACAATTGCAAGTTCAATAACAAAACAGGAAATGATTGTTCTTAGCACAAAATACAGATCATAAACTAATAACTTAGGGCTTCCATTCAGGCTGAGTTTCTTGATTCTTCAATTTAGACTTGATTGGTAGCTTTAATGGTGATGCCTTGGACCTAGGCAGCTTGACACTTGATTGAGGCTGGGCTGTGAAGGCTGGGGCTGTGAAGGCTGGGTTGATTAACTTGGTTGTGGTGGTCCTACAGCTTGTGAGCTATGCCGAGAAGGAGCAGACTGTGATGTGGGTGTCCCAGTTGCTCGGTCAATCTTCCCCTGTCAATAAAAAAACAATAACATGTAGAGTTTTAAAAGTTAGTACACAATAGACAAAATATGACCTATAGATTCAAAAATAAAATCCAATGTCCACATACCTTCTTGACAGCTCTATCCCAGTTCTTCTGCCTTTGTAGAACATTCCAAGGGTTCATTGATGGTGGTGCTGGGTTCTTACACTTGTTCTTGTAATGCCCTGTCACTCCACAGTTTGAGCACTTTGGCTTTTTCTTTTGTTTTTGCTGTTCTAAAGCCTCTTCCCTTTCACCAAGTTCTTGCTTTCTTTTCTTGTGGGAAGGTCTACCAGGCATTTTTCTCATGACAGGTGATTTTGGCTGCATCATGTCAGGCCTCTTTTCCCATTGTTTCATGCCAGGCATTGGATTAGTAGTTGGTGTGTATGCCTCTAAGTATTTGTCCTTGCTATAGACAGAATCAACAAAGTCTTCTGGCCTAAGTCTCTTCTTAATGATACAAGTCCAAGCATGAGCACATGGTATCCTAGTGAGCTCCCAACTGAAGCAAGTACATGTTCTCTGTCCCAAATTGACTACATATCTATCACTGTAGTAGTCCACCTCCCAAATGTCCAGCCTTGAAGGAATCACTTCACAGTTACTAGCCAATTGTGAGACAAATTTGAAGACCTTGGCAACATAAGGCATAAATCTGCCTTCAACACTTTGCACGGCTTCCCATTTCTCAGTTTTTCTCTTCATAACATACCTCCTAATCCATTCAAGGCATGTTATTATTGGCTTGTCCCTTGCATCTCTCAACACAGCATTAAAGCTCTCACATATGTTGTTCAACAGCATGTCTGACTTACTATATGTAGAGAATGCATATTTCACTCAATGATTAGGAGGAATTGCATCCAAGTATTTGAATGCATCTGGAGACAATTCATTTATCTTTTCCATGTTCAGCTCAAAATCAGCCTAAACATGAATGCAAATAATGTTGTACTTTAGATGAGAATACAAAAGTCATAAATACTGAAAATGCTCTTTAAAAGTTCAGAAACACACATACCCTTGTTGGTGACCTTGCTGACTTCCAAAAATGCTCTTTGAAAGCCTCACCACCAAATTTGAGCTTGAAATTAGCCCAAATGTGCCTTACACAAAACCTGATTTCAGCATTTGGAGTCACAACAGCAAAGACATCCAAAAGTCCCTGCATTACAAATATAATTTAGTAAAAAAGTGATACTTTTTTTACAGAAGACAAATGAAAGAATGAGGAAGACATTTGTACCTTTTTCCTGTCTGACATCAAGGTCAACCCTTTCCCCTTTGGCTTCTCAATATCCTTAATTAGCAACTCTAAAAATCAAATCCATGTATCTCTGTTCTTTACCTCCACCACAGCCCAAGCAATAGGGTAGATATTGTTGTTGCCATCTTTACTCACAGCAACAAGTATCATGCCAGGGAAAGAACCCTTCAAATGACACCCATCTACTACAATAATGGGCCTGCACCCCCTTTTGAATCCTACTTTACAAGCTTCAAAACAGATATACATCTTTTGAAATATAGGTGGAGGCCTTTCAACCCCTTCAATGACAACAACTGCTGAAGATCCTGGGTTGCATTTCAGCACAACAAATCCATAATCAAACACTCTTGCATACTCCTCAGCAGAATCTCCATACATAATTAACTTGGCCCTTTCCCTGGCTAACCAAGCCTTATAGTAACCAATATGCACCCCCAAATCCCTGTACACTCTATCTATGAACACCTTAAGCTTCCAAGTGGGATCAACTTTCCACTCATCTAAATACCTATCTGCTAAATACTCTGAAGTGACCTTAGAACTCTCATGATGAAACCCACATGTGTGGTGTAATTTTAAGTTCCTCACCTGCAATGTATCCTCCATTCTTATCTGCCTCAATAAAATTTTGAAGTGACACTTGTTCTCAGACTGACAAGTGCACACTATCTTCCCATGCTTCTTCTCCCATGGACACTTACACTTGTTCTTACAGTACACACTCACTTTAGACTTCCCATTATGCGAAAAATAATAGTCATAATGGTTTTCAATGCTATGAGTCCTAATAGCTTTTCTAACTACTTTAACATTTGGGAACTTCAACCCTTTCACAAAGTTAATGCTTCTTCTGAAATCAACCTCTGGGTTAAAGGTTGGATTAGGATCCACCTCTTCATCAGACCCTTGGAGACTCCTTAACTCTTCAGAGTCATACTGTACCTCCTCTACATCACCTTCATTCACAGCTTCCTCCCTTATCACTGGTTCAACACTGTTCTGATTAGATTCCTCTTCTAACTTATCCTCTCCTCCAACCCCAAAATCAACTTCCAAATTTGAGAACTCAGATTCATCAGACCACTCACCCTCCCCACTCCAATCTTCACCATCAACTCCAAGTTCAATCACTTTCTTTGAACTTCTCTTTCTATCAATCTTACCAGTACCCTCTTTCCTACTTTTGTTAACCTTTGAAGCTACACTCTTCTCTGACTTCCCCTTATTTGCAAGTGTTTTCTTTCTTGGGGTGGGTTTTGGCAGAGGTGAAGAGCTGCTAGGGTTATGATAAGGTACAGAAGAAGAAGTAGGGAAAGGATTTGGTTCTGGGATTGTTTTTTGTGGAGATTGAGGCAAACAAGGGTATGAGCTTTGTGAGGATAACACTGGGCCTTTTTGTATCTGGGAAACATGCCTATCAAACTTAGCTTGGGTAATCAGAACTGCTAACCCATCATCATCATCATTTTCATGATCTAATTTCTCTTTGTTAGGAGATAACCTCATGCTCCACCTAACAGGGTGAACCTCTTTTTTAATGGGCTTCAGTTTTTCCTTTTTGTTATTACATGGTAACAAAGTAGAAGTTGAGGGTGGACTGGGTTCAATTTTGTGTTCTGGTTTAGGTGTTATAGAAGGTACAAAGCTTGGGTTCTTTGTCCTTGGACCTAGGCCATGTTGTAAAGGCTGGACAGGGTTTGATTTCTTAATTAAGGCCCAAACTATAACTCTATCATTCAGATCCCTACTGTTGACCAAGTTAATAATGTCATCAAATGTCTCCACCTCCCTCCTTTCATTTGTCAAGTTTCTCCCATGTAATTTGTACCACACACTAAAATGTTGGGGTACCCTACTACACACTATATCATATGCATATATCACCCACTTCCTCAAATTCCCAACATTCAGTTCCTTCAACCAACAACTCAACCTCATAAACATCCCTCCCCCTACATACTCAGTCTTACCCTTGCTGTATTGAAATTTCCCCCAACCTAGATATTCATATCAACATAGGGTGGAAGCTCCCTACAATAGTGAAAATAGCAATTTTTCAATATCAATAGCAACATGCACAATTATCTAAGCTCAACACATATTCAGTCAAACCAAACCAAACCAAACCAAACCAACATGCACAGAAAAAAAAGGGCAAAGCAACCAACCCACAAATGCACATTTATCAGAGCTCAACAACATCCTAAATTACAACAATTAGTTTGTTGTTAATTAATTAAATGTGATAAAGCGTTACATTTGTTTAATTGTACAACCAATTTTGTCAATTAAAAAATTAGGGTTCCAAATTCGAGTATTAAAATATTTAGGGTTTTCACATTTTTTCCTTTTTTAATTAAAAAGGACAGAAATTTATGGTAAAACCACCAATGTACCTTGAAGATCTTCCCTTTGCTGCAGTCAATTGAGTATTTACTGAGCTTTCCCCTTTGTCCATTTCTGTAGATTCACCCAGTTACTTCAGCATACCCAAAAAAGTAAAAAGATGAGTTGGAAGAGAGAGAGAGAGAAGGCAATGACAAAGATGGTAGGGCTGAGAATTTCAGAAAAAGGGGCAAAGATGATAGGAGATTATTCGCTGCTTAGGTCAGAATGGTTGAACTTCAATTGAAGAGAGTAAAAGAAGAGAGTGAGTGATAATGAGGGAGATTTAAGAGGAGAGAGAAAAGGTAGTTGGGGGGAATTAATTTGGGTGGGAAACGTTAATTGGTGGGCCCCAATAACGTGTAAATTGGACGGAAAACGTTATTGGGTAGTGCACCAAAACGTTTTCCATCTTGCGGGTAGTTGTAACAATAAAAAAATGGGTAGTTGTTCAAAAAACACCCTATCATCCGGATAGTTCTGGACAAATTTTCCTAAAATATTATATTTCTTTCCTCTCATGGTCCCCACCCAAACCCATATTACTTTTTTTTATTATATCTTTCCTCTTACATTTATTACTTTTTAATAAACAATTAACCCCACTATCTTTCTTTTACAATTTTTTAATACTCCAACTACCCCAATTACCTCTTATTTTATTTAAATCAATTACATTATTTTAAATTATGTGCCGGTCAAACTGTAACACTTAAAAAACACGGAAAGAGTAAATGATATTTGATTAATATTATTCTTTCAATTACCTTTACATTTTTCAATTTTTTATTCTTCTACATACCTCACTATTTTATATTTTATTATTTTATCCAATTTTTGCTAAAATTTCGCGCATGAAAAATAGAGCAATAATTAAAAAACGAAGGAAGTAACATCATGCAGTAGGCCGTAGCATCAAAGTGCGGTAAGCATATAGGGAGTACCAAAGTCGAAAACCGTTGGTTACGCTTACGCATACACCAGAAACATCCACCACCCCTCCTCTCCTATTTTTTCCAGTCTTCCATTACATCAGCAAACCAACAACAACAACAACAACTCTGTTTTCTCACGCATTTTCTCTCTCTTCCTACAACAATGGAGAATGGCGTAGTAACCGCCGATCAATCATCGTCTTCTTCAGCGGTGATATTCATGGGAACAGGTTGTTCAAGTGCTGTACCAAATGCAATGTGCTTGATCCAACCTTCTGATCCTCCTTGCACCGTTTGTTCTCAGTCTTTGCTCATTCCTCCCGATCAAAACCCTAATTATCGGTACATTTCTCGTTTTTCTTGCTCAATTTTGTATTGCTCTTTCAATTTTGCTTGATTCTTAGTCTTTCCTTTTGCGTTTTTTAGTTGATAGATCTGCGTTAGTTTGTTGTATTTTGTTTGAATTATACTATTTTAATTGTGGTAGTGATTTAATTGAAGTTGGGATTTTACGCCATTGTTAGATCACTGTTAATTTATGTATACTGGAGTTTGATCTCACTGTGATATGGAATTATGGAGTGTTATAGTATTTACATAATGTGCATGATTAGTTAGGGACGTTGATAATTTGATATTCAACAGTTGAATGTGGAATCGTCTTGGATAGAGATTTAATCACATATTTTGTACTATATTACTTGTTCAAAACTTTTACGGTCCATTGATAGGAGTTAATAAATGGTGGTAGTGATTTTATTTACAAAGTACTTGTATATGTTTTTGTGAAGGAGTTCTTCCTGAAATAACTCTTTCCTAAATTTTCATTACAATTGATTATTGTTTTAAAGGTGGTGGTAATAGAAATATTAGAAAAACCTTTATTTGGGGATGGAGTTTCCTAACCATAACATTACCGTAACTAAGATATATGATCACTTACCAAACGGATTATCCAGGCATTTCAGAATATAAGTTTTTTTGTAATGATAACATAATTTTCTCGGGGCATTGATGCTAGGAGCCTAGGAATAGTGAAGGTCATAATATATCTTGTTTTACTAATAGCCAACATTTACATTGAAATTATTGCTTTAGTACAAGCTGAGTTGAATTTATAACTTAGGTTTAAGTGATATTTGTGTTGTATGTTTCCATCAACTTCTGAATCTAGAGAAATTTATACCTTCCTATTATATGTAATAATGTGGCAACTAATGACATATTAACAGGTGATAGTTTACTGGTAAGATGGATTGAGTGATTGACTAGATACATGACAATGATGGCCCCTAGTGCAAGAGTATCAGTTTAGTCTTCTTTGGAACTAAGAGCTATAGCTTTTTCTTTTTCAATAATCATGTGGTTGTTGAGGATATATTTTCTCAAGAAGTTATATAATTGGGCAATTAGAGGATTTAGAGCTTATTATAATTCATGGTGGTGGGTTGAGACCATGGTAATAGAAACTTAGTGCTAGGGAAGCGTAGCATTAGTGGATCACTTGTCGTTATAATGTGATGTCTTAGGGACTACTTACTATTTTTATCTCTCATTGATGGTAATTATTTGTCAGTTGGAACTTGGAAGAGAGATGGATAGAGTGACTTTGGAAGTTTTTGTAGTTAGGTGAGTAAAGAATTAGTTACGGGTGTTCTTTTCCTGCAGGTTAAAAAGTAGAGGAAAGTAATGGGATCAGCAGGCATTAGTCTGTTGTCTATCTTTGTTAACTCAATCGATTAAAATAGATGTTTTAGCTGTGGAAATTGTCATAAGATTATGAGTATGGAAATGCATGATTTCTGATGTGCATTTTAATTCGATGGAATTTGCTGGATTCGCAATGTTCTTGTTCTTTCCTTTGACAAAGATATGTAAAATAAAAGACTTATACGTAGGAATAGGGTAGAGGGAAGTGTACTAGCTCATGCCTTGTTCGTTTACTTTAAACAGCTGCAAAGATTTAAATCCTTCAGACTTAATGATTTCTCCACTGCTACTAGCTATAAGAATTAAAGATAAGTGGCATTCTTCACCTCCTTGCTCTTCTGGACCTCATTTATCATTCCTTTTCTGATTTTTATCCATATCACTGAAGTTGCCATTAACATTTTGTCATGTCTTTTTCTCTCCATAAACTGTAAGTGTAAGAAATGAAAGCTTATTCTTTATCTTTGCTGCATGGCTGGACTTCTCGTTATTGTAAGAAATTGGCAATAAATTATCACGAGTATAACGTTATCTTCTTGGTATTACACCCTTGGATTCATTTTTGAATATTTAAGTAATCGCTAAGGTATATTTAAGGCATGATATTTAATTTTACTTATATCCAATTTCCAGGGGCAATACATCTCTCCTTATTGACTATTGTCAGAACGATGGTGAGCATAGTTATATCCTGATTGATATTGGCAAAACATTCCGAGAGGCAGTTCTTCGGTGGTTCACCTTCCACAAAATTCCACGGGTTGATTCTGTGAGTTTTTACTCTTGAATCTTGAAATCATTGATATGCTTACTATTAAATATATGAACCTTGTTCAGAATTCTTAAACTTTCAAAAGAAGTCTTTTTCTTGTTACCTTGGGTGTCTCTATATCTTGTCTTTTTTTGTTTTATTCTTCCATTGTTATTTAATTTGTTTGGTTTTTTGGGAATGAATGGGAGCTTTCTGGTTAAGACGTGGCTAAGATTTTGATGGATTTTTTTATGCTGTAGAAAAAAAGAGGAACAGAAATTACATCTGATGGAAACCTGCAAAGGTTGATTGCATGTTTAATAAATTGCATCAAATAGAGCTATAAAAATTTGAGCTTATACACTGATTCAGTAGTTTGTTTCCAGCACTATTCACTAACAAATTACTCTAGAAATATTTGGAGTTACATTCAACCTTATAACTGCCAGGAATTATAATTTAATGTCATTATCCAATTTGCTGAAATCTAAGAAGTCAGTATTGGATCAACTGCAGATAATTCTGACGCATGAGCATGCCGATGCAATTCTTGGTCTGGATGACATACGAGCTGTGCAGCCATTTAGTCCCACAAATGATATTAGCCCGACTCCAATTTACCTCACCCAGGATTCTATGAATAGGTATGGAGCTTTCTTAAGTGCCACGATGAATATTCTAATGAATCTATTCACTTCCAAAGCTGTAGCTGTCTATGCCTTTTCTATTTTGGTATTCTCCCCTACTCCAATTTAATCTCTTGGTTGCATTAGGGCTTTCTATCTAGATTTGTGGCCTAGATAGTAAGACTACTCTCAAAAGGTGCTTCTGCTCTACATTTCTGATTTTTGATTGTGGAATTTTTCTATAATACATGAGGCGGGATGTTATTTTGCCATCATTATTCCCTTTCTTTTTTTTTTAAGAATGCCATCATTCTCTTCATTAGAACGGAACTGCTACCTATCAGCTTCGACTTTCTGGTTTTTGTTAATCGAGTTACTGATATAAAGTTGCACTGGATACTCAATACACTTTAAGGGTGCCTTGGAAGTATATATGCAAACTCAATTGTCTTGCATGTGAAAGAAGGTTAGGTCTGGGAAGCTAGATTGGAGTTTTTTTTTTTTTCTCTGCTTGCTTTGGTTGACCTTTGGGTGACTTCCTGTAACTATGTACTCCTTTCTTTTTTCATAATTAGAGTCACACAAATTATTAAGGGACGAAGACAACTTGACAAGTACACATGAATATGGAAAGCAGCACTTCTTTCTCATGCCAAGAATTCTTCTAAATCTGAACCTTAACCCTCATTATAATTTTTTTATTGTTCAGTTAATTTTGGATGTGTTCAATCCTGTTTTTAATGCCATCCACTATGTCAATGTTGTTACTACTTGGGGTATCAAGTTATAATGGTGATTGCTTAACTTATGTATGTAAAGTTAGATCCTTTAGATTTTTTATTGTTTATTTTATTATTTATTTTATTATTATACTGTAATTGTACTGTCTTGTATACTCATCATACCAAACTGAGATTTTTTCTTGTTATCTTGACATTTGACAGATGCAATGCTTAGTCAGATTGAATCAAATTCTAATACCTTGCTGCTCAGCTGATAATCACCTTTTTGGTTGTTTCCTGTGACAGTGTGGCTGTAAAATTCCCTTACCTGGTTCAGAAAAAACTCAAAGAAGGCCAGGAGATAAGACGAGTTTCTCAGCTTGACTGGAATATAATTGAGAGCGATCATGAGAAACCTTTTTTTGCATCGGGCCTGCAATTTGCCCCTTTACCTGTAACTTGCTTCAATCAATCTCTTCTCCTTTATGCATTTAACTACTAGTACTACTACTTTCTACTGATTATTTCAATTGATATAGGTGATGCATGGTGAAGATTATGTTTCATTAGGATTTCGTTTTGGTCAGAAGTGCGAAGTAGCTTACATATCGGATGTCTCACGTTTCATCCCAAGCACAGAGGCTCGTGAGTACTCTTTTGCCCTTTGATATAAATGCATCAATACACCTGATAGAGTATATAAACCAATCCTTGTTTCAACCATTAGCTTAAGTTTTTGGTTGTATACTTGTATTGGTCGTTTAACATGGTATCTAAGCCAATGTAACACAAAGGTCACGAGTTCAAATCTCATCCACCCCCTCTTTTCAAAGTGGAATGTTAAGCGTTGGGTATAAAGGGGCCAATGTTGCATCCACACTTCAATCCCAATGGGCTCTCATGTGAGGGGGCGTGATAGAGTATGTAAACCAATCCTGGGCTTCAACCATTAGCGTAAGCTATTTGTTGAATTAGTCCTTAAATAACACTTCACAACGACATATATAATCTTTCATTTCTTTATCTGAACTGAGGAAATATGTTTGTAATGACAGTTAACACTTAGATTCATTGAACTTTTGTCATCTCTTTCTTGCCCACTTTTAACAGCTGTCGTGAGATAACACTGCAGACCCTATGAAAGTGAATTTATACATTGGTTTTTGAATAAGCTAATATGAAGAGTGTTTGAAAGCTGAAACAGCCCACTTACTTTTGAGTTTTGACAAACCTGAATGCCAACTTGTAAAGGATGGATTGTGCTGAATTGGACCATGAATAATTTAGTGTCTGTTTGGTTTTGCTAAAGCCACTACTTGCATTAATCTGTAAGTTGATTTAATGGAAATTGTGATTAAACTATGGTTAACTTTTATTTTAAAAGCGTAGAGCATGACATGATTTCTGAGGCACAGTATATGTATTACTAAATTTATTTAATTCTGAAAACAAGAGGTTTGATTCTGAAAACAAGAGGTAATCCTTAGTTACTTTGGTCCATTTATATGTAAAACCTCTCTATTCCTTGTTAATTTCTGCATCTTGTACTCTGGAGTCACTTGTGTTATTCCCTAAAGAAATGTCTTAATCAATACTGTATGGCATATTGATTGTGTACGTGTCTTTATGATTAGTAGTAAGAGGACAAAATATATGTACCAATAAATTGGCTCTTCTTGATATTCTCTGTAGCACTATGTGCACGCATTGAAATTAACGACTTAATTTCAGATACATCGCAACTGTAGTCTAGACTCATAATTTAAATAAAATTGTACTGTGTGAACAGGAACCAAAGAAGGGACGTTATAATATGAAGTATAATGTATAGTTAGTGGGGTTATATAATTTCTAGTGGGATATTGAAACTATAAACAGTTAATTCAAGTGGGGTTAATGAGAGAAACTAATCTGTAAGAAGGGCTAGAGGGAGGAAGTAATAACAACATATTAGTGGCTCCTTATGTGGTACTCCGTACTAAAGAAGGAAGTGTTGTTATTAATGAAAAAAACAAATGAAAATGGGTTTTGCAATTAATCAGAAATGAAAGGTGTACTTTATTCCCAAGCATGAGGTTTCTATGGTTCTCTTTGAATACCTGTTTTTGTCATGCATCACAATTTGTGTGGATTTGCTTGACCAGTATGGATTGTTTGGATTTTAAAATTGAAACTTGTTCATTTGGCAGTTATTTCAAAAAGTGGTGGTGGTCAGTTGGACCTTCTTATCTTGGATACCCTTTACAAGGTTAGCATGAATCAAATTTGTTTGGAATTTCATTACTAGCTGTGATGGAGATGCTTTATAGATAGCTGTGGGCAAGAGTCTGATTACCAAAGTTGAACGAGCATATATTAAATGATTTTCTTTTTGAATATTGCCATATTTTTATTGAGCAATAGCGGATCATGCAATACTGAAATGCATGTATATGAATTGTGTTACTTCATCCCTCCCTAATTATATATCGCACTTGCCAAGATTCCTTAAATGGATGTCCCAAAAAAGAGTTACTCTTTTTCCTTTAAAAATGAAAAATTTCTCATTGCGTTCCCAGACTTTTTCTTTCTTGCCATACTCAAGTGTGAAATTTGAAACAAGTTACTTCTTGTAAATTATCATTTACTTACTAAAGAGGTAAGATAAATGAGTAACTCAAACCCACCCCCCCCCCCCCCCCCCCCCCCCCCCCCCCCCCCCCCGTGCCCCCGGGACCACCACAGAGGTGACCCAACTGGGCAAAAAATAGCAAACGACTTGGAACAACTTGAAACTATTTATTGAAATAGCAAAATGGTTTTGGGCAATTCAAATGTATTCATAAGTGTGTGGAATGGAAATTAGGTGGGACTGCAAAATGGCCGCAGGAAAGGGCTGGATAAAATTTTGGAGCACTACTGAAACCCGACAAAGAAGCCTCATATATTCAAGGACCACCCACTAACAACGTCACAAACAGTGCAACACATGTCAGCCTGAAATTTTAGTATAATTAGACTACCAAAACATGGCTAGATTGAAATCTAAGCAGAACTGGATTCAAGTTGAAATTCTTGAAAAATCTAAAATAAGGGTAAGGCTATGGATGAAAACTTTCCTATATGAAGATAGTAGTTAAAAGATAAAATTAACGCAAAGGGAACAAAGCTACTTTGTTTATGAAGTATAGAAAATCTGAAGTAATCTGGACAAGTATATTAATGGCTAGTTAGGTGTGAAAGTGGAAGGAGATGCAAGGTAAGGGCACCATTGAGATCTTTCATGAGTTTGCTACTCTTTTATCATGTATCTCGATTCTGGAGACCTTTCTACCTCTTAGCATTCTGTTGCAGTTTGTACATTTTTTGGTGTGATGAAAAAGATATAAGTTTCTCCTTTTATATGTTTTGACAAAGGAATAGTTTGGTGGAGCTTTTTGCGTCTTAGTAGTTCATGATATATTTTGAACATGTATAGTGATCTCTGATTTTCTTGAGCATAAGATCACTTCTTGCTTTTGCTTTGCTGTCCTATCCATTATTTCTGCTTTATTATCAACTGTAAGAATAATTAGAAGAGCATAACTCGACCTAAGCTATTTCAAGCCACTATTTGTGAATGAAATGGCATTTCTCTATGATTTTAACCTTTTTTCTTTACTCTATTCACGCTCTTATATCTGATCAATCAATTGATCTGGACAGCATTGAAATTTTTTGATGATTCTATTCTTATTGTACTTTTTGCAGTCTTTCAGCCTTTTAGGTCATGCCATGACCAAAAACTTATGTTATTGTAAAAATTATGAAATTACAATTCCATACAATTATTTTCTGAAAATAACATAATCATTTGTAGATTATTTTTTTTTTCTTTTTTCAAATAGTGTCAACTTTGAAATCTGAAGATGAGCAAAGAAAGCAGCCCCCTTTTTTTTTTTTTTTTTTTTTTTTTTTTGTGTGTGTGTGTGTGTGTGTATGTGTGTTGGGGGGGGGGTGTTACAGAAATTTTTGTTTTTTTTTTTCCTCAGAACATGCTGGTTAGTGTTATGAACCTGAAGAAATGGGGAAATAGTGTCACGAATAAGTGTATTACTTGTGCAGAGTGGGACCTGAGTTTGACAGGACTTTTGTTCTCAATGCCAGTCTTTTCTCCCCTTCATAAGGCATTATATGACCCGTTTGGTAGGTGCTAAGGTAGTATATAACACAATGAATTTGAACGTAATTTTGTAAATAACTTTTTTGTGTCCAATAATAATGGAACTTTGTCTTTAAAGTAGTTTAAACGCAAATGTTTGTTTTTCTTTGTAAATATTCATTGTCAATCTGTACCACCTCTAAAGTCACAATGGAAATTTATGAGAGTGATATTTGGGGTGGACAACCTTTACCATGGTCATTGACATTGCTTTTCTATTAAATTTACATATACAAACTATCATTACAACCAGTTTATACCACCTGCCAACGTACCACTAGTCGAAGGAATTAAATTAGCTGTGATCTAGCATCTTCTTTTTGTTTTTTACCTCCGGTTCGTATTATATGCAACTTTTGGTGTATTATTTGCGGGTATAAATAATTCCAAAGTTGCATATAATATGAACCGGAGAACACTGACCCGGGGAAGAGGGGGGTGGGGGGTTGAAATGTTTACAGTGTTTATATGGTCCAAATAGCAAATCTGATCATTATCAGGCTCTAGTTTTGAATCATATTATAACATAATTGATACCCAAGTGCAAGTAAATGAGAGAAACAAGGTTTTTCATGGCTGGAACTTTCTGGTGCTGGTGCTTGTTTGATGTGTATCAAGAGAAGACACAGGTCCTACCATGATTCTTCCAGATCACATGAGCTCCAATCCAGTCATGTACTAACTCAAGCCTGGGTTTGGTCAGCTTAGAGGGCCTTACCTAGTTTAAAGATGAATAAATAGTTCAAAATATGTAAGTGGAAACTGAGATGACAAAAGTACTCTCCAGATGGTCTAGGACTCTGCTGGTAAACACATAATCTGTAGTTTTCTCATGGTTTTACAGCATGATACAAGATTGTGGGAAACATGTTCTGAAGTCTCATGCCAGACCACTGATTATGATAATAAAATTCTTCTGTTTATTTTAGCTGACAGTCTGACACGTTGTGACTTTGGCACTATTCTCACATTCTCCTTTGACCTTTTATGTTTTATACTCCCTTTGTCCCCAAATGATCTACCCTTATTCTAATTGATGAACCCATTTCTTTTTTTACCATTTATGGGTATCATGAAATTACTCTTTTACCCTCATTTTTTTCGTCTTCATTAGGTGATCTTTCTAAATTACCCTTTATTTTGCAAAATTATTTGTGCAAAAGTTAGCTTTCCCATGTGAATTTAACTTTTTTTCCTCTCTCTACTTTTTTGCTTTCCTGTGTGGATTTAGCTTTCCCATGTACTTCTATTACTTCCTCTTTCCCTTTCTTAATTCCTGTGAAATATGAGAAAAGGGTAGATCATTTGGGAATGGAGGGAGTATATGATAAGAAATATAGTTATGTGGGGTCTTGTTAGATTCTCCTCGATTTATAATTTCAAAATGTCAAGTTTCTATGATATTTGATGAACAATAATTAAATTATAATTGTTGAATTTGTGTATTGGCAAGCATGATTAAACAAATATGTTAGCTAAAAACAAATAGAGGAAGTCATTATATACACCTTTATCACTGTATCATAAAGGTAAACTTTAGAAGTGTATACATGTATCTGACTCAACTGTTTTCCAACTTTGATTTGCAGAAGGGGTCTCATAATACTCACTTTTTCTTCCCTCAGGTAATCTACCAGTGGAATCCAACACTATGTTATGTGATCTTGGTTTTGTGCTATGTGATTTGACTAAAGTTGCCTTGATTTTAGACTCTTGATGCAGTGAAGAGAATCTGTCCAAAGCGTGCTCTGTTGATTGGAATGACCCATTAATTTGATCACCATACTGATAATGCCTATCTTGCTGAATGGTCAGAAAGGTAGTGGACTGCTATTCTCTACTGTTCAAGTTCTCAACTGGGATACTATTTAGATAAAATGGTTGCAACTTCCATTTTTAGGAATTTCATTCTTTTATAAGGCCATTGTATGAGCAAAACCATTCATATTTTTTTGCACTGAGATCTATTGTGGATGTCTTATATTCCTTTTTCCTAAATTAATATGCATTCTGTTTTGGAATCTGTTTTTGTTTACTGGTACATATTGTTGAATTTGTTTTTGACAAATTCTTAGGACTATATTAATTTGATTTCATCACTCTTATTCAGCGAGGGAATTCAGGTTCAACTAGCTCATGATGGTCTAAGAATCCCTATAGATCTTTGACAAGGTGAGATCTATAAGCAAGCCCCATACTCTCATGGTGAATCTTAATCAACAAACACCATCTAACTGGTTGTTTCTTGATAATATATGTGCAGGATGTTATATTTCTAAAGGAGTACTGAAAGTTTAGCTGTTTGGTTGACAATGAAGGTATTGGTTTTCTTCTTGACAAAGTTCTACCTCTCATAAACTAAATAAGTTGTCATTTTTGCATGCAAAAAAATTCTCCTTGCCCCCTCTATAAGTTGTTACTTCTTATGTCCAACCAAAAAGTTTATGCACCCCTCATAAATTTCACATTGCATATGAATGGCAACTTCATGAAGTACAACCCTTCTGATGTGCAACATCATGGAAAATTGGAAAGGCAATTTTTGTGCATGCTATCAAATTACTTCCAATTTTTAAAGCAGTGTTGTAACTGGTATTGTTGCAGAACAGGTACAAACTATACTCGCTTCTTATCTTCTTCAGTGGGCGAGTAGACATTCCGTTAATACAGGTTATAGATTTGGCTTTTCTACCAATCACATCAAGGCTTGAACTCAAGTTGACATATTGAATACATTGTGCTTTTGGAGATCGACTCAAGTTTTTGATGGTGGTATTAACTGATTCCTTTTCCCCTGACCATTCGATTCAAGAGAGAATCAAAAGCTTCTGGGCTTGTGCGCTAGTCATGTATACATAATGTTGCCCAAAGATTGTGGGCTTAAGTATAACTATATTCAAGTTTTTCCCATTTGTTGATGTGATAACTTCTAGCAGGATAATACAACTGCAAATCACATGCTTTTCATAAAATCAACTCATATAGTCATATGAGTCCAAAAAAATAAAAGGTTAAATTGCTGGTCTATGAGGTTATACTTGTATACTCACTAAATAAACTTCATTATTTTGTTCGCAGTTCTTGCTCAAATCTATCTTTTCTTTTATAAATCACAATATGAACAAGGAGGGTTTTTTTTTTTTTTTTTTTTTTTTTTTTTTTTTTTTTTTTTTTTAAATAAAGAAAAATATGAATTAACAAATTTATTTACAAAAAAGTTTATAAATCTATCTGTACTCTAGATTCACAACAGCTTAGAATTTAGAAGAGATCAGGCGATGATTGAATTTAAACTTGTAAAAAAGTTTGTAAAGAGTATTATTTTCCAAGTTTAATCTATCTCGTTATTGTGTGCAATAGTAAATAAAAAGTTTAATTGGGTTTTAAATCGACAGGTAAAGCTCAGCACAAATAAGGAACGACGAAGGTGAAGTTCATACTTTTATTGAAATCCGCAAGTCATTCAGTAATGATATTCTATTTACCTAGAGGTACCAAGTGTAGAGTTAGATTAGACACTATATTAAGCAGAATCAATAGCAACACAAAGATATACATGGTTAACAAAATTGTCAATGGATTTTGTGCTTTATTTATTTTATTTGGGAAAAAAATAAATAATTATATAATTGATAGAATATCTCAAATTCACACAAAGACCAAGCATGTGGAATCAATTCGATATCTAATAGAGAAAGATTTTTTGTATGATTTTTTCTTGTCAAGTATGTACTGCCTACTGCCAGAAGAGCTTACTGCTATGATGTAATGAAATCTTGATTCTGTTATGTTATCTGTAACTGAATTATGTTAAGAATGAGTTAGGTATTTCTGTAAGCCTATTATCACAGTCTTGTAAGAAGTCTAACAGTTTGTTTGGATAAAGAAAGGGGATGGAAAAGAAGGGGAGGGAGGAGAAGAGGAGGGGAGGGAAAGGAAGGGGAGGGAAGAATGGTGAGTTTTCCTTCCAAATCTCTCCATTGTTGGAGGGATCAATTTCCTACAATTTAATCATTCCATTTCTCTCCCCTTCAATTCCCTCCCTTCCTCATTTGCTATCCAAATGAAAGATACTCCATCTCTCCATTTCTCTTCCCTTCCTTTCCCTCCATTTCCTTCAATCCAAACACACCGTAAAGCAGATTTTGGAATAATAACTCATTTTCATTTTTTCGCTCACTCTATTCTATTTCTAAATCATATATGGTAGCTCGATTGAGCTTATTGTAACATATGATTCCTATATGATTGATATACTGGCATACTGCCCCAAATTCATACAAACATCAAGCATGTAAAATCAATTTATAATCTAATAGAGATAGGTCTTTAGTATAATTTTGGACTATTAGAAGAGTTTGCTGATCTAATTCCTACATTATTATCATACTACCCTAAATTCATACAAAGACAAAGCATGTGGAATCAATTTGGTATCGCCAACATATGGTAGTGGACTGTACGAGTAGTCGAGCACACAGGCTAGTGCTACACCAAGCTGTGGGGATACATGTATCATCAAGTTTTTGTGACCTGCAGAAGTCATTACAGTGATGGAAAAGGGCAAAAGACAGATTACAGGATTCGTAGAAGACATTCTTAGAGTGAAGGGCAGATGGATGTGTGCAAGAAGGTCAAAGATAATTTTGCTTCTCATTCTTGTACTCTAAATATGTAATTAGTAGCTCCATTTTGGGATTTGCAATTTTAACCAAGGAGCAAAACATGACAGGAGTAGTTAAATTTGGAACACCCATCCATTATGAGACAAAGGTTCTAGTGCAAAAGTCCAACATACAAGAAATTTTACATATATGCATCCTTGGGGTCTTTCTCATACGCATCCTTAGGACTTTGTGGAGGCTTGACATAAATCTTTTGTTCTTCCTCCTTGTCAAAAGTATTAAGATGTAAGCTAAGGCTGAAAACTAAAAACTGTAGACCATTAAATTCTAATCTGAAGGATGAGATTATATCCGCGTGATATTTTTATTTTATTTTTTAATTTTTTTTTTTTTTTTTTTTTTTTTTACAACAGCAAAACACAAAACACCTAAATAGCAAAACTATAAAAACTAATTCGACAAGTATTAGCTAGATCATGGGCCATTCCGACTTGGTCTCTTCCTACTTTCCAAACAACACATGTTCTTAACGTAGAAGCCAGCAGCTGGATGTCCCGAATAGTCCACCAAATGCTAACATCCGCTGACTGTGGATTATCAAGGCTTTGAACCAAATTAGCAGAATCCGAGAGCAAAAAGACATGGGGAAAACCTTTCAATGTAGCCCATCTAACCGCGTGATATTTATTATTGACCATGGATTTGTTACTTGATTTATGAAAATCCATTCACTCCACTTTTTACTGTATACTATTTTTCTCTCTCCTCCATCTCACAATTTCCATCTCACCCTTTCTCTCCCCCCCCCAAAATAAAATCAACAAACTATTGAGGAAATTACTTTGATCTCCATCAAATCCATCAATAGTTTCAAAGGTGAGCCTAACATGTGAGTTTTCATTTATAATTTTAGTTTAATTTGGTATTTATACTTTTCTTTTGAAATATCGAACTGATTTTTGGATTTGATTTTTTTTGGGGTTTATTTGAATTTTATTTTCATAGGATTATTTTTGATTTGCATTTGTGTGATGTTACTTGATTTTAGTAGATTAGATATTTCATGCGATTCGATCTTGTCATTAAATATGCTATAATTTGTCTACGATCTCTGTGATTCAAGTTTTTTTTTCTTTTTTTTTTTTCGATTGGCTAGGTTAAATTGTGTATTTAATTGTTTACTAGTTGTAAATCGATTTGTTGATTGTTGTTAATCGATTTTTTTTTGTTGTTTAATTCTTCTCTGATTAAGGTTCTTAGCGACTCAGATTTGTGATCCTTATTCCTTAGTGTGATTTTGAATTTTTCCAATTGTAGGGAATATTTCAAGCAATCCCACACTTGAGCCCCACTGTGATCATACACTTAAGCATGGTGGCGTCCAAAGAGAAGGAAGCTAGAGTAAAAGAGTCGCCAACAAGTTTTAGGAACATGTAAACCGTTCACAGGGTGAAGGTTACACCCCTTAACGATCCAGGAGATCGTTAACTCCAATAGGTCTGGAACCATGACTGGAAATTCGGGGTTGAAGGTACAAATCCAACCTAAAAGAGATTGAACTTGTCCTAATAATAGGCCTCTACTTTATTCTTCTCGTATTCATGTGCGCTTTCTTACTAACATGCAATCAATAGATTTACCCTAAACCTGTTTCATCTATGTTGGTTGAATATTAATGCACAAACAAATCTATTATTGGCGATCACTTGAATTATAATCATATTATCCCTAAACAAGATTATTAATTATCTTATTAAGCATGATTACAAGAACAAATTCCCCTTTAAACATGCATAAAAGGCGTGATCAAGCAATAACAATAATAATCATCAAGCAACATAATAATCATCATCATAATAACAATTATAACAATCATAAAAATAATAATGTTAAAGCATAATAATATTAATAGCAAGATCATAGGCATGATACTAACAAGATTAATAACAAACCCTAGCATGTCACTAAACATTAAAGATCAAATCTTTAGCCCTAACATGACACTAACACGATATTAGGAAAATAGGAAGCATCATAATAAACATAGTTGATATTAGAAATTTTAGTTATTACCCTGATCGAGGGTTTAATAGGTCGTTAAGCTACTACCCTAATCTAATTAATCATTTATAATACCTAAACTTACACCAAACTAGTTAGTGGCAAGTAAAAGGTCGAACCACTAGGGAAGCACACTAATTTAACATCAATAATCACTGATGCAAGAGTAAAAAGGGGATTGTTTTTATTGGTTTTGTTGAGTAAGAACACTAAAATTACAAATAAGCAAGGAAAAAAGATGATTAAAATCAAGGGAAAATGACGCTAGGGATACGGGGGTGTCAAATATGATTAGAAAGAGGGGAATAATAATGATTATCATGAATCACATGCCAAAGAACACAAGATTTTACCCAAACAATTCATTCTCATGCAACAGTCTAGGTAAATCAATGAAAGAGGTCTACACTAATAAAGATCATTCTCATGCATCCTATTAGTTACAATCAAATCAAGAGAATAAAGAAACACAATCCATAAAAACTCCACTTTAATAACTTATTCTCATGCAATCATTAAAATAGAGATGATCTTAATCTAGTTCAAATCACTTTCATGCATTTAAACTAGAAAACATCAAATAGAGTGCAACAATAATCTCAAGCTATTAAAATTATGTCTTTCATCAATTTATGGCATAAGTTCAATCTAACCATCATCATTCATCCAATTTCAGCTCATATTTTCCACCCCCTTCCCCTAGTTAAAAGTTTAGCCTAGAGAAGGGAGATTAAACATAATATCAAAACTAGAAATTAACTCAAGAAACTCAAAGCAAAACATGATTAAAATCAATGAAATCAATAACAACTAGATGAACTAATAAGATTAACAAGAATAAGCAACAATAAAACAAATAAATAAAACTAAAGGAAAGGATAAGAGATTACTAAAGAAAGGATGAATTTTAGATGAAAGCTTGGATTCTTGCTTGATTGATTGAAGATTAAACTTGAGCAAAGTTGATTACAATAAGGGATGCTTGAATAACAATCTACTTTCTCTCTCTAGATTAGGCTAATATTCTATGGAATTAGAACTAAGTGTTTTTCATTACAAAGAGTCCCGTCTATATATATGTGGCTCCCCCAAAAGAAAGAAACTTGGCAACAAGGCGCAAAGAAATTAAAAACCCAGCGGTGCACGCCCGCATACGAAATATGCGCGCCCGCGCAGTAGTAGTGTGCACCCTCTCAGCATATTGCGCGGCCGCAACTTTGAGGGTACGGGGATATAAAGCGCGCCCGCACAGTAAACCTGCGCGCCCGCTTAGAGGCCGCACAATAGATCGCACAAACTCTCTGGTTTGGCTCTGTTTCATCAGCTTGGCTGCGCGGGTTCTAACAGGGCTGCGCGCCCGCACAGCCAAGCATGCACGCCCGCGCAATAGC